GGCGCATTGCTCCGTGAAATATCTTCGCTCGATATTTTAATTCGGCGGTATTTATCTTCCAAAGTGTGCGAGACGACGACGTGCGTCGTCGTCTCGCACACTTTGGAAGATGCGGCCGGATATGAGAAAATATCCAGCCGGATAAGCGATGAAAATAGAAGACAGCTAAATGAACGTTAAGGTTTACTCGGGATATTTCGCGCAGAATACATTTGTACGACGATATTTATACATGTTACATATCGTAGATATAGATTAGGTCAGATCGAACACAGACGTCTTTTGTTATTTTGCCCAAGCAGTCACGTGAAATGTTCAGGTGCCGATTAAACTGATTCTGCTCGGGAGAGCGAATCAGTTTAAATCAGTCCCAGAGTAAATTTTTAATCCGCACAGTTTTCACGCACAGACCAGCCAGGATAAATTTGTTCTAACCACACTGAAATATTTACCACGGACACATTCAGTTTCGAACTTCACTATTCACCCGACTGTTTAGAATAGGAAATTTACCAGCGCATTATCTGAATGAAAAATAATAATTTGAAAAATATTCCATTTTCCGAATAGAACTTCGAGGAAATCTACAGCTTTTCACTGAATCTAAACGTATTCTAAAATAGCAGGACTAGCTGCCGGGGAGCGCGGTAAAACACGCGGCGCGGGGATCGATTAAAGTAGAACAATGGCATTTTATTCATGTGACCCAGATAGGAATTCACCCTTACTTGCGTCAATCAGTTTTTATCGTCGGCACGGCCGATCGCGAGAGAGGAAATGTCGCATTATTTTCCTATGAAAGATCCGCGCGCGTTTCCGCGCTCTTGCGCGCGCTCGTCACGATTTCAATATCTGATCACCACCTCGTGCTTGATTTGTCGTTTCCGCTGATCAAATTAGAGTGTCCTTGTTTCGATACGAGTGAACTCGCGCGAGCACAAGGAGTCGGCCGGTTGTCGTCGGAGCGGCGATGCTGGTTGCCGTGCGCGATAAATGGAATTAATGGTGTCGGGCATGATAAGTGACGCCGTGGCTGAATCTGATTTGATTGCCAAGTATCTGCTGCCCGGCGCGGCGGCGCGATAGCGAGTCGACGCTGTGCCGATTGTTGTTTTTAGCGGATGTACACCCTTTAGAACGAACAAAAGGCTATCCCGATTCTTCGCACGGTCAACGAAGCTCGCTCGATTACGTCGTCGTTCGAAAACTGCGCGTCGAAAGCCGCGCGTGGCGTTCAGGCATTTTCCCGCCTGTATCATATCCATCACTCTGATCCTAAGAACGAGGCGGACGTGCCTCGGGTATTATCGAATTTATTCATCGACACCAGTCACTTTCCTGTCTGTCGGTCGTTAAGGACACCGGGTTGTGCGTCATGCCTGCGCTTAATACGACTGGCGTTTATCGGACGATCAAGAATCGTTCCGAACGATTTGAAAGTTATTCGAGAGGCTCCGCTGAAGTAAAAACGACCGAGGAGGAATCGTATACAGGTCGTAGGCAAAAGTTACATGTTTTATTCGACGAGGCTGCTTGTCGACGATTGACGGATTCGAAGACGCGTGTTAAAATCTCAGCGCTTATGATTCGGGACCTTTTCCAGTACGGCGATAGAACGCGAAGAAATTGCCGCTATATTACGTCACAACGGATCGATCTGTGATTCCCATCGAATTACTCTTGAACAGAGCTCCCCGTTTATTTCTGTATCAACTCCTGCACAATTTGCATATTTCATATTTGCTAAATGTTGCAGCGGTGAACGGCGACGAAACGATGAAACAAATGTATGCAACACGTAGACAGCGTATCGGGTATTTCGAGTAAGGAGGCGATACGCGCGTGCGTGTTGTGAATGCCGCTTAAAACTGGTTTCCGTTGCGTTCCTAGGCGACTGGCTGATCAGGACGTAGATAGGGTATATAGGCTTACTCTAGTTTGCAGTCAAGAAGCGTAGCAGAAATTCAATCCCCCTGTCCGAAGAGGAATTAAAGAGCATCTACCCAGCCAGCGCGTTGCTCGTGAAATTAATTACCCGCGCGTTACCCGACGACTCTCGATGCTCAAAGTCGGAGAAAATCATCTTCCGTTCGGGCCGAAGCCCCTTGATTTCCCACGTTATCGCAGCGGCGGCCCGAGAAAATCAGCCTTCTCCGCTGAATTATCCTCCCGTTAAAATGCGCAGAAGAGGCGGGCCGCAGAGAGTTGCTGACTCGAGCGGAGTTTTCGAGCGCTCAAACGCGCAAACCGTGTAGTTGTTAATCTTTCAGGAATAAATTTCCACGCCTTGAATACTGATGAACGCGCTTTTGCGTTTATCCCGCGTTCAAGGATTTATCTCGTGACGAAATACACGGTGTGCAATTTACTTGGGGAATTAGATCGAGTTTCGCACGGCCGCGCGCGATGGGCGCGAGCGATGTGCGCGCGATAGAAATCTTCTCCGCAGCGGCTTGACATACGGGCGATTAGTCGGGGCTTTTCCGGTTGAAATCTTTCCCTCCCCCAAGTCCAAGAGATCAACAAGTTCTCGCATTATACCTCTCGCCTCGCGGTGAGCCGCTTACTCGAGCCGGCGCATACTGCTTTAACAAGTTATCGCGGCTCTGCGCGGCGGTTGCGCGTGATAGTTTTATCGCGTTTTCTATCCGAGCCTCTCTTGTCGAAAACTTCGCGCAGACTGCGAAGTTCCGGCGCATCGCGCCGCCGCTGCTGCTGCATCAGTTCAATGGTATATCCAGCTGAGTGCAGCTGACAAGAAGAGCGGCAAGAGAGGAGCAGCTTGGGCGGCGGCGGCGGCGGCGGCGGCTGTACGATGCATCGCGCAGACTCGACGCTGCGAGCTACAGCTTGCTCCGTCCTTACGCAGGGACGGATTTACGCAAACTGCGTCTTACATTCTCTTATTCACGGCTAGGGTAAATCCCCACTCCTGGCCTCGAATACCGTTCCCAGGAAGGTTCAGGAAAGAAATTCATTTATGACGAAGAAGTAAATCAAAATTTTGTCAATTTTATCTCCCGTTAATTTTACTTTTTGTGCATTTATTTAACCACTCGGTTATTTATACTTTTTTTTTTTCCTTTTTTTCACAAATTCATACCGTTTTGCGCTAGGCACAAAGCGTAAAAATTTCAATCTAATCCAGGGCAGATAGCGCGGTAGGACCTGGGAGCTTGCAAAGGAGATATGATAACCTGCAGGAAATCTGGACGGAAGCCAAAGAGGCGGTCATCCTATCCAGAATGTTATTAAATTTTTAAATTTTTGTCGTCACTTCTCTCTCTCTCTCTCTCTCTCTCTCTCTTTTATTACTACTACGTTTGTGCTGCCCGAATGCCAACCTGGTTGGCTTTGAGAGTTTTGGCATTCTACCCCGGGCATGCCAGTTCGGTGAGCAATAGCGATAAAATTGCGCCGAATTCCAATAAAATTACAGTCTACATAGCCCGAGCTATTGATAAATCAATTCTTTCCACTTGGTTTCGCACTATTTATGAGCAGACTGTCAACACCGCGTGAAAATTTGTGGAACGCGCGGGGAATTGATATCATTGTCGCGCGCGCGTAAGAGAGAGAGAGAGAGAGAGAGAAAGAGAGGAACTGATGTCATCATAATTAGCGGGAACACGATATCTCTTGGAGCGTTAGGAACAATGTCACCGATATCTGGACACATTTTCCCTCCTCTCTTCCCGTTCCCTCCCTCATCCTTTCGCTCTCTTCCTCTCTCTCTCTCTCTCTCTCTTTTATCTTATTAGTTGCACAGATAAAATATTATCTAGCGGTTACGCGTCGACGAATACTTTACACATGAGAAGGACTCGCGCGAGTTTCGACCGACAGTCGCTGGAAAACTTGAACCTCGTGGTTTCCGCTGGTGCGCTCGCGATTTCGAGCCTACGAGAGCAGGCTCGTGCACTCTCGTGCACTTGCACGACACACACACACACACGGTATTCCCAGCGTATTCACGAGCCAATGATCTATATGCTAATCCCGCGTGGAAGGCGATCCCCAAGTCCCCGCGGCTCTGCAAACTTTCACCGTCGCGCATTAACGACTTCTCTTTCGGTACACGGCGGATGCGGCGTACCGAGATAAACGATTTTCGCGTAATCCGCGCGAGTCTCGCGAAAAGCCGCGTGTCATCAGTGAGCGCCGCCTGCGCGCGCGCGCGCGTGCGAGATACGTCGTTTCATCGCGCACGTCTGATTTTACGCGAGTACAAACCGGAGCGGAGAACGTCCGTCCGGCGAGCAGGAAGCTCGCCGCGACGTGGAAATCGCAAAGTGGAAAATTAAACGCCGAGCGATTGGTATTCTACCCTCGACAGTAAACGTTTCGTTCGGGATGCCTGATTGGCCGGCGACACGTCTCAGAGGAGCCGGCTGATTCTCATTCCGACTGCGATAATTTCACTTGGAGATGCCGGCCGCGTCGTTCCGGTTCTCTGATATAGGTAGCGCCAAGGTGATCCTCTGATATCTCGACTCGGTTTAGACCGTTTCAGAGCGATCCAATTCCCCGAGTTTTCACTCGAGGCGTTCTACTTCTCTGCACGATGTTGCCGCCTCGTAACGGCGTTTTATTTCTTACACGCGTCGGAAACTCGTCGTTCCCTCGTTCGCGGATCGATCGTCGATCGTCGATCTGGCGAAACGAACGAGCGTTAACTTCCGGATACGCGACGGAAGGCGAGAAGAAAGTCGGAATTTTCGTCTCGCGCTCTCGCGAAAAATCACGATCTCTCACGGCCTGGTCAGCATCAGCGCCGCTGTGATCCTCGGGAACGAAGGCGAAGAAGAAGCCGCACCTTCAGGTGAAAGCGGGGAGAAGGGAGGGGGGAGGGAGGAGAGGATGCGCGCCGGTTTTGATACCTGCGATCCGGTTTGATTTACGCATTCCCGTCTCTCGGTCGACGACTATTTTCGGGGGAGGGCGCGGTGATGTTACATATATCGCGCGTCCGTCCGGTATCTCGCTCGCTGTGCATTCACCTGTTCTTTGGAGAAGACGCACTTGATGAAAACCCAACGATGCGATTGGACGGTGCAGTGGCAGCCGTCCATGGCGCATATCCCCGGCTGCAGCGTGGCGGCCTCGACGAAGCACGACAGGAGCGCGAGATACCACAAGAACATGGAGCATACGATCGCACGATCACACTTGATGAGCCCGTCAAGGGCGTTGAACACTCTTCGCCTGGCACTCATCGTTGTACGCTCTCCGCGAGAGGGCCGCGCTCGCTCACGTACGTCAGACTGCCAGCGGGTGCATCACTGCCGCGGTAACATCGATTATTTCCCTCGCGATCGCCTCTCCCTCATAACTCCGATCGATCAGCACTCGCGTCCCACGACCACGATGCACCACCACTCGCTCGGGCCCGTGGCCATCGACGGTACCGATCGGTCGATCGATCGGCAGGAAACTCCGCTCGATCTGGGAACCACCCACCGTCTTCGCCCTCGTCGTCTTCTTCTTCTTCTTCTTCTTCGTCTTCTTCTTCTACTTCTTCTTCTTCTTCTTCTTCTACTTCTTCTTCTTCGTCTTCGTCTTCTTCTTCTTCTTCTTCTTCTTCTTCTTCTTCTTCAGGCCGGGAGCACATGGAAGAACTCGAGCAGTTAGCAAACTGACCAACCACACAGTCGATTGGTTCTCCTCAGGACCCGAGAATAATCGATCGATCAATTTCCATGGCGACTGACTCACTCTCTCATCACCCCGCCCAGGTCTTACTGCTTACGTTTCTCTATGCGCTCCCGCTGTCACTCGTGCTGCTAGTCCAACAGCGATCGATTCCTCCAGCGCTCGATTTCGCGCTCGACCGCGGAACGTAGCACATTTTCTCCCGCGCGGCCTTTATCGATCTTCGCCAACGATCGACATGATCGTCGCGCTGCGGCGAACGGAGCTGGCGGCCGACTACCGCCCGGAGCAAGTTGCGATACGCGCGCGCGCGCGCGGTCCGCGGTCGTTCTCGAGGAAAAAGAAGAAGAAGACGAAGAAGAAGAGCAAGAAGAAGACGATGAAGAAGAAGGAACAGCAGACGAAGAAGAGAAAGACGACGACTGAGAGGAAATGGTGGGGCAGGCTAGAAACCAGCTGACGCGATCATGACGGAGGTTGCTTTTAAACTGTGGTCGGTGGCATGCACGATCGGTGTCTCCTCCCCACCTACATCACCATGTAGGCTCGACTCGCCTTGTTACATTCTCTCACACTCTCTCTCTCTCTCTCTCTCTCTCTCCACGTTCTCCCTCCTCGGTCTTTTAAAAGATCAACGCCGGCACTCGGTTGGGTCCGACGTCGAAGGAGGAACGACGAGAGCGTGTCTCGGGGTCCGACCGACACGCCACTCCGCCGAGAAGATCGACATCGGGGAACGCGCGCTCGTCGATTTCGTCTCGCCTAGGCGCGCTCTGCGCACCTGACACCCGCGAGGACGACCTTGACCAACTTGCGACGAGAGCCCTCAGTCGCACCGGTGACCATCGTTGGCCGCGGATACTACCAATTGCGTAAGCCGCGTTCGGGGCTTGTAATCGGCTGTTAGATGCATGTTGGAAAGCTTCTCCGCGGCTTCCACTCGCGATACTCGCCTGGATGCGCCGGACGACCTCGGCGCGCTAAATCTGAAGGCTTTTCTCGGCTATCCCGCCTTTGTCTTCTCTCATCGTCTTCGTTATAATATTCATTGGCACATGCAACCCGCAGAGCAAATTTTTCTCGCTATTCTCGTCCCCGATCGCGCTCCGGAATACTCGACGAAGACGAGTTCCTCGCGAAAACTGCGGCCTTCAAATAGAGCTGCGCGAGACGCGGATCCAATGGGATTTTCATTGTTTCGGCAGATCTGCCGATATTTACGGCGGCGCTCCATTATAGAATACACCGCTTTCAGAAAGATTGTTAACGTTTTCGTTGAAATTCCCGAGTGCCGCCGCTCGCGACATTGGCTCGCTCGGCTCCAACCAGAGGCGTCCAAATCAGGGCGTCATCGAGAGAGAGAGAGAGAGAGAGAGAGAGAGAGAGAGAGAGAGAGAGAGAGAGACAAACACACAATCCACGCGCGCGGGGTTCAACACCCGCGAGTGTTCCGTGCCGCGCGCGTCGGCATTTTCCGCGAGATTACGCGGCCCCGTCACTAATAAATCCGCGACGCGACTCCGTCGTATTATTACACGCCCGGTGCCGGAAATATGCGACGCGCGCGGGGGGGGGGGGCGAGGGGCGGGCGTCCACCGTAGCGTAAAAACGGCAGTCCGATCTCTCGGAAGCGGCGCTTCATAGCCGCGCACGCTCGGATAGACGCTGGCGTTTCCCTGAAGCGCTACACCGCCGCGCGCGTATGGCTATTCGCTTTATGAGCGGAAACCTGTACATTTAATTTCCCATGAGAAATTGCGAGCCCGCCCTCGCCCTGCGCGCGGCGGCCTCCCTTATCCGCGCCCTGACGCCCTTCGCTCAAGCCCGCCGCTCGAGGAACGTCGCCGGTGCTACGTCCATTCATTCATAACGCGTTTCTCAACGCTGGGAAGTGGCCACGACGTCGTCCACGAAGTGCCCATTTCCGAAATGGTCACGTACCGACTGTACGTCACGTGGATACCGATCTTTAAAGCCGCACGCTCTCGATTCTCTCCCTCGGTCCCGTCTCCCTTCCTCCCCGTCGCTCTCGCGCGATCTCTCTCTCTCTCTCTCTCTCTCTCTCTCTCTCGCGCGCGTATTATGCACCGCCATCGCCACCGGCTCTAGGACGTCCATTATCTTTGGCGTGCCGCTCGTTCATCTTTTTCGTCGTGACTATGATCGATGGCCGGCGGGGAGCGCGCGCGCGCGCACTCCACGACGTTTATATCTGACTCGCGAAAATTACATTGGTTACATGGCTTGATACGCGCGCGCGATACGCGCCGCAGAACTCGATCGAAAGCCCGAGATATCATCGTAGCCCGCCTCGTGGCCCGAGGTATCGTCCGAAGAGGTTTAATATCTGCCCTCCCTTCGACCACCCGATGTCCATCGCTGCGCGATCTCATCTGCCCGCGTTTGCTCGTGATATACGCGGAAATGTAATCCCGCTGGTGTGTTCGCACACCAGCTCTCGCGGTGTCTCGCGTGTAACTCGAATCGTTCGCCATTATTTCAGCTATTCGAACGAGTATCTTCATACGCGCGGGGATGAGCACTCGGCACACACTCGGTAGGCGAGCCACGCTCTCTCTCTCTCTCTCTCTCTCTCTCTCTCTCTCTCTCTCTCTCTCTCTTCTCTTACCACCCTTGTCATCTTTTATTTACTTGGGATACTTTCCTCGCGATCGTAACTCTTACGAGCGCGCGATACCGTCAACTCTGTCGTAACTCGAAGAGGGAAATGTCACGTGTAATGTAAACAGCCTATTATCTCTGCCTATTATCCCACTCGCCCTCGCCGATAACCCGACACTGCTCCATTCAACTCGACTCGAGCAATTGTATCTACGAGATCGCGCGCGAGGCAAGAAAATTGAGGCAAAAAAATCTCGGCGCGGCCCGGTCTCTCTAGAAAAGAGATGAAAAGTCCGCGAGTCCGAGGAAAGAGTTTAAGCGCTCGCTTGGGGAAGATTTAAATTGCGCTCTCGCTCCTCGTTATCTCCTTTCGATTCCTCGAAGACGACGTCATCACGCGGGAGATTTACACTGTCGCCCGTTGACTTTTAATTAGACCCTTATTTTCCACTGGCGGCTGTGTGTGTGTGTGTGTGTGTGTGTGTGTGTGTGTGTGTGTGTACACCGTAATGATCGATACGCGCTGCGAACTCTTCCGCGACCTCCCTCGCCGCTCCGGTGCGGGAATCCTCCCCGAGAATACCGGTTCCACCTAGCTCTGCCGCAACAACGCGCAAGAACGCGCCACGCACGAGAGCAGTGGCCGGGGCTTCGTCGACGCGGCGAGCTCTTCCCGAGGAAGAGAGCTGCGAGATGTGATTGCGCCTTATTAGGGATGAGCATGCGAGCCGGGGGAAGCGACGATTGTCTGACTGCCGGAGGAGCATCGTCCTCTATTCGCGATTCACCGGCGGAGCCACCGGCAGCCGCGGTGAATCCACGAGGGGCCACACCAATTAGGGCCATCGCGTCGTTCTCAGCTCGTTCTAACGAAGCGTGGCGACGATTCGTCGCTCGTCAAACGGCCCTCGCTTCGAGATCTTTCGCGTTATGATGTGACTGACACGACGGAAGAACGCGGTAGCGGCGACTTCCGCTGACTCGGCTGATCCACTTTCGTTGACGTTTATATTCCGGCTGCGTTTCATCGCGCGATCTGTGATCTCACAGCCGACCGTGACGAGCGTCACGGTCGGCTCTCCTCGCGGCTGGCGAACGATTAAAAGTTTCAGCGCAACGTTTTGCACTCGCTACCGGCGCGCGTGGTTTTATGTCGGCTGGAATATACGAGTAGTTGGTCTCGTCGAGAAAGCAGAGAGAGAGAGAGAGAGAGAGAGAGGAAGAGGAGAGAGCAGTCTCGTGATCTTCTTATACAAGGGCAATAAAAGAGCTTCGGATTCTTGTCTTCTTTTCTTTTTCTTTTTTCACGATACTTTCCGCTCTTCATTCTGCATTAAAACTTTGCTTTTACTCTGGACTCTTTTTAGTTTTTAGTCCGTTGAATGCAAGAACCGATATAAAAATGGGATGCGCAGGGTTTGATGGCGCAAAAAAAGTGTAGCGACGTTAGCGACTGAGAAGAAAAGACGAAAAAAAACGCGACTTTTGCGAAATTTGAGAATTCCAATTCCGGGGAAAATTTCTGAAAGACGGGCGGTCTTTCGGTGTGCACGCGCGATAACGCTCGTCCGTCTCCTTGCTGCTTGCAGTTTTCACTCCAACGAACGTCTGTTCCTGCGCGATTTCGTCTCTTGCTCGGCCGGCACCAGCGGCGGCAGGCTCGCGAGATGGCTGCAACCGGACAGTTTTGTGGATCCCGGCCAATGCGAGGCGCTTTATTCGCGCGAGGACATGAGATGCGGATGGCCGGCCATCGTCACCGTGCTCACGAGAGATCAATACGGCGAGGTCGTGCACGTCCCCGGACTGAAGGTACGGTATCATCTCGTCTCCTCCTCCCGGAGGCGCCCGGCTCCTTTGTCGACGTGAGATCATTTGCAGGTCGAAGTGAAGGCAGTGCCGATAGATAAGACAGACATCACAGAGTCCGATCAGAGCAGGAAGATCCGTCGCGTCTCGCAGCCGGATCCGATGACCTTCGGCGGTCACCCGCAGCCTCCGTTGGACGTGCCCTACGAAGTTACCATCAACAACAAGATGTGCTTCTACGCCATCAACATCATGAAGGCCTATCAGAATTACTCGTTCGAGGAACTACGGCTGATGTCGCCCGCCGTGAAGAGGTCGAGCGAGAGCATGCTGGTCAGGCCTAACGGCGACGGCAGTTACAGCGCCACGTGGACGCCGTCCTCGGTCGGCTGGTACTCGCTGATGATCACGGTCGACGGCTACAATATGGAAGATGTGAGTCCTCCCGTAGACGCTCGAGTTGAGAACACGCGGCGGACCTCGTTCGCGCCTCCCTCGTAGGTTTCAGGGTGGATTAAGATGAAATTTGCCTCTGTTTAGAACTACAAAGTCGAGGTGAAGGAATCCCCTCAGGGCATGCAGCCGCCAACGCAGAACATTGTGAAAAAGCCGCAGCTGCAGCCGAGCAGGCTCCGGAAATTCGTGGCGAAGAATAGTGCTGGTTTGAGAATACGAGCTCATCCGTCGCTGCAGAGCGAACAGATCGGATTCGTCTCGGTTAATGACACTATAGCGTTCGTCGATGAGGTAATGTCTGAGGAAGCTGCTCGCGCACGCTTTAATTGAATTCACCTCGAGGCCTGCGACTGCGACTGGACGAACAAATAAAGACACACACACACACACACACACACACACACACATTCGCCATTTATATTGTCGTCGTTATACCGGATCAGTCTAAAAGCTCGATTTAATTCTCCGGTCAAATTTGACGTCCAATGAAATTCAATTGTTTATTCAATGGTCGTGGTTTATGAGACTCTTTGTTCACGTTGGTCGATTCACGGTTGGTGTCGGAAGGAGGCGGAAAATTCAGCCAAACTTTTCGATTGACCCGACATTACAGACTTTTGGTATTACTCGCGTCGTTATTTCCACGGCGTGCCTCCTCGAAGAGGAACAAAAGCATCCCAGGGTGGGAATATAATGTTCCACAATACAATGTTTCCGCTAATGATCGCGCAGATCCACAACGACGACGGGGTCTGGCTACGATTAAACGCGGAGACAATCAAAGAGTACTGCAACAGCAGTCACCTGGAGGCCTGGTGCTTGCAGTACAATCAGCATCTAGGGAAGACTCTGCTACTGCCGGTGGAGGAGCCAAAATCGATTCTGGATCAGGTGATCAAGGAGACCATCATGCGAAAGCGTCCCGACGCTGGCGACGAGTATGTGCGACAAAATGTCTTTCTCTCTAGCGCGCTTCTTCTCGACTGTTTCTTAATTTAACACGACAGTCTTCCTCCCGTCAGCAGTAAGAGGAAAACGGTGACTTTCGACGCCGGAAGGAGCATGATAGTCGTGAAATGCGGAGCTTCCGGGCACAATATCAGGAGCAAGCCGAGCTTGAAGAGCGCGCCGGTTGGGATGTTGGCGCTTGGGAACACAGTAACTATTCAGGAATACGTAAGTCCGTCTTGCCGGAAACTGTCGGGCTCTTTCTTCGTCAAAGTTCCCCCGCCCGTCCCGACGGGACGCTTTACGGTCCGCGTCTGTCTTTTACAGTGCGTGAATCACGAAGGAACCTGGGTGCGCATCGATGACGACTCGGTGGCCAAGTATTGCTTCGACAAAGGCCGGGGTGTGGACGGCGAAGCGTGGTCGCTCGCGATCAACAAACACGGCGTGATTTACATGAAGATCGAGCAGGACCTGGAGAACGATCCGATAGAGAAGAAGCCGATGATACCGGAGCCGACCGTGTCGCCGAGTAACAAAGGCTTCGACTTTTCGATACCATCCGTGAGCCACGAGGGCTTCAACTTCACTACGCAAAACTACACATCGGACACGACGGAGTCCGTCGAGGGTTGCAACACGAATCCATTTGTTTTCGGCTCGTACAATCAGCATGACTCGCCAGGTAGGATGCAGTCGCGGACGGCAAATTCGGCTGACTTGTTGCATCCAGTGACCGGTGTGTACGTGTGTACGTGTGCGCGTGCGCGTGCGTGTGTGTACATGTGTATACGCCAAATGCGTTCTTCGCAGGAAGCGAACGCTTCACACCGGAGAAAACCGACGGGACCGCCAAGTTCTCCAAGCCCCATTCCAAGGAGAGAGTGGCCAAAGAGCGCGAGAGGGAGGGCGGCGGCGGAAAGTTCAGCGTTCTTCAGAAATGGCTCAGAGGGGATGATAAGTGTCACGGCGAGAAAAGAAGTTCACCGGGCAGGTATGGAGATGCATTCGATGCACATAATATTCCCCCCGCATCATACATCTTTCATATTTCGGCCGAGTTTTTCGTCGATTTAGAACACGGTTATGCCGCCGATGCGTGTCGCGCGTTATTACATCTCGCGCGCATCGGCCGCGCTGTTTCTCGAGGTCTCATCGTAGATCTCCCTACGCCGCGACCACTACGCGAGTTTAAGTTTCGCTGAAAGCGACTCACGATACGCGATTCGCTTTTCCTGCGCGCTCCTCGGCAGCTGCTGCAGTTTCAATTTCGGCGTTAACTCGCATAATTTATCAGCTTACAATTCCGCGAGCATCCGTCAGCATATGCGTATCACCGATGCTTCGCAGAGATTTCTCGGAATTCGTGGGCGTGTCTGTGAAGGAGTTGGTAAAGGCGATGGGGGAAAGTCGCGCGAACGGCAACGGAGCGACACCGCCGGAGACCCCTCGGCGAATGTCAAGAAGTTCCTCACCGAAGAATCCCCAAGGTGGGTCACCAAGATTTTGCAGTCCGTCCTCTAGCCCAGTCCCGATACCCGGTACGTATTCGGTACTTGCACTCGCAATGACGTATATAGAGACATCACTTGTTTTCTCTACCGAGTTACGGATCTTTGTTTTTTTTTTCTTTTTTTTTTTTTCTTCTTTTTTCTTCATCTTCTTTCTCGCGATTCATTCTGCTCTTGTGACGCTATTACGTACATGCGTATATACTCTCGTGCGACTTGACACTGTATAAATCCCCCTTGAAAATTAAATCATTTCAGAAGCTGTGAAAACGGACGCTGACACTCGTAAGGCTATACATTTTTTTTTTTACGTGTTTTCTCGTTCCCTCTCTTTTTGTTATATCGCGTGTTAGAGCACAGAAAGTGATGTGTGTACGACACACAGTGACATTACATGATGAAATACATGATAGATTTATAGGGAGAGTGAGAGAGAGAGAGAGAGAGAGAGAGAGAGAGAGAGAGAGAGACAATTTTTTATATGTACAAACATTAACTACTAACTCTATGTTGTACTACTAAGTATGTTGTTTGGATTAGTTATAACAAATTAGTCATGTTGTGGTCTTAGCTGGGTCCAGTCGGCAGCCAGCTGTTTCTGGCAATTGCCTCTTCCCTCCTGCTGCTAACGCACCAGGTACTCGCTCGTATCCTACTGAATTACTCAAGTTGTAAGATAGCGTATATCATGCATAGTATTATAATAGTTTGTATCGTCGAGGATCTGTTTTAATCATCACCGTTTACGTCTACGAATTCTATAGGATTGATGGCACGCTATAGAAACCACTATCAGCATATTGATCAGTGAATTTTGCAAACACTGTATTATGCATGCGAGACAGCGGTAGTTGCAAATCGGAATGGCACGCGATATTATTTCGTTTCTTCAAGCATGCATGCGACATCGCAACTTACCACTGCAATATCACGCACAACTAGCGAGATCTCGGCGCGCGCGCGCGCGCGCGGGAGGAACGCTAGTAGATGAAAAAGCTTTACCGTATTAATTGTAAGACATACCCTCGACACGATATACAAACGCTACAATTAATCCAAATTATTAGGTGGGAGAAGCGCGATAGGAGGGGGAGAGAGTATGAGTAGCAGCCCTGTACTCTGCGGCTCCCCCCGAAGTGTCGGCCTCTCCCCGTTAGGTAAGATCCACTGATACACAACTAATACGCCCCTTAGTTGAAACATCGTATTGAGATCCGTTAGCGCAAGAACAGTCGGCCGCAAGATGTTGCGCGCCGCTCTTCTTGTTGTCTTCTTTGTACTTTCATCATGCAAATCGAGTATACGAATGAGAGAGAGAGAAGTACCGCTCCCTTTGGAGACTTGTTTTTCGTTTGCAACATGATCGCACGAAGTAATCTGCACGACTTGAACACCTCGGAATGAATTGTGTAAGCGAATGTTTTGATGAATGTTTTCGCTCTGTCACTCTCATTGTTCGTGTATGCGCGTGCGTGCGTGCGTGCGTGCGTGCGTGCGTGCGTGCGTGCGTGCGTGCGTGCGTGTGTGTGTGTACGCATATACATATATGTGTCCATATATCGCCTACGAGAGGTGAGAGAATCGACACCCTTGCTATGAGAATCAAGTATCCGAATACGCGTGGCTCGCGAGCGTCGCGCGCGGGCTCGATCGTAGCCGCGTCATTGTCCTTTTCTTCTTCTTCAAGTGTCGGGAGGGATGGTCGACAGCATCACGTCACAACGTCGCAGCTCGACGCAGAGCGACACAAGTGCCTTGGTTAGCAGCCTGACGAGAGATCCGTCTCAGTCACCGAGCGGCATTAGTACTACTGCCAATACCCGTGATCTATCACCGAGTCCAAGTTGCAGTTCCTTACACATGAGATCCGAGGGCAGCATAGCGAGCCCGCCCGACACTCCCAAGAAGGATTGTTGTTGCGTAAGTGACATAACACGAGAGTCTTCTTAACCTTTGTAACGAGTTGTACCCCCTCCCCCCCTTCCCGCCGCTTGTCCTTTTATTCGCTTATAAAGGACTGAACGTCGGTTTACATTTCGGTGATGTACGCCGAGAGAGAGAGAGAGAGGGGGGGGGGAGAGAGCTGTTTTCACCGCTGCGTCGCGCGCAACATCGCGCAAAGAACAACAAGCGTGAAAGCTGTGCATTGTTTCTTCAAGGATTCCCAAGAGAGCCCGCGCAAAGTGTCGCAAGCGCAGACCCAAACGAGTCCCGAGAGCGCCACTACGGCGATGAAGGGCCACTTCAGCATCGGTTCGTCCGGGGTGAAGGACGAGCGACATTCCCCCAAGATGAGCAGGAGGGATCACATGAAGGCCGCCAAGACGAGGGCGAAGCGCGCCATGTCGCCGGCGAACGCGCAGCAGCAGAGTCCCAATCCGAATCGTCCTTTGAATTTGAGCAAGGACAAGGTGAAGGAAGCGGTCAGTCCATCCGTGGCGGAGTGCCTGCGGGCCGTCTTCGCGGCGTTCTTATGGCACGAGGGCATCGTGCACGACGCCATGGCCTGCGCGAGTTTCCTCAAGTTTCATCCGACTTTGCCGAAGCAGGGCGCGCTGGTCGTAACGAGACAGACTGTCCTGCAACCCAGCGATAAACAGCAACAGGAGCAGAAGGCACGGCAGAGACACTCCGTCGAGGTGACCAACGCCGGCAATTACTTGCACATTCAGCCGAGCACGCTGGAGACCCTCACGCGTTCAGCCGCGAACGCGAATGCCAATAGGAACAGGAAGAAGCAGGAGAGCACGATCAAGGAGGAGATCCAGGCTAACAGCAGCAGCAAGCTCACCTCCCTGCCCGAATTTCACACGGTCGCGGTGCTACCGCCCGCCCTCAAGAGCCTGGTCTTCCTCTGGGAGGAGCTCAGCACGAATTGCCTGCAAGCCATCGAGCAACAGTCGATCCTACCGAGCCCGATATCGCACGTGCAAACGATGAAGCTGGCGAAACGGCCGATACCGGAGAAACGTCCGCGGGAGGACAAAGTGAAGGAGCGCGAAAAGAAAGGTAGTAGAAAGAAGAAGGAGTGGCGGCCTATAGGAGGAAGAGCGGAAACTTCTGAGTTTTTTACAGGGATCAAACGCGAGGTAATCTGCGACCTCTGCGGTCTGATGTTCCCGCATCCAGTGACTTATCACATGAAGATGATGCATCCAGGCTGCGGCTGGCACGCGGGCGGAAAAGGGTACAACAGCGGCGGCGGCTACTGCGCAGGGTGGGCAGGCAACTGCGGTGACGGCGGTGTCGGTGGTAGTTCGTGGTACTTGATGTGCGACACATGCCGAGATAAGTACCTGAAGGCCGGCAAGAGCAAGCTGGCGAAGAAACTGGAGACCGGCATGTCCAAGAGGAAGAGCAACAGCGCCAACACCAAGACCCTGTCCCCGATTTACAGCCCCGGCGGGAATGAGACTCATATCATTATGAAGAACAACGCGATGTTCCTGTTGGATTTGGCCAGCGCATCCGGCTTCAATATCCCGAAACAACAGCGCCGACCCTCGCAAACACTGTCGTCCGTGGCGGAGAATTACAGCCCCCCGGAGGCCGCCGGGCCGTTCCCGCCGACCGGGCCGTTCCAATGTTTGCAAGCTCTGGGTGTACATCACTCGCAGAGTCACGATGAAAGATATTACGAGGAAGCTCTGAGGCGGCAAAATGGCCAGCAGAATAACTACGAAGGTGCCAGCGCCGTGTACAACAACACGAACGGCAGGGTGAGAAAAATGCCTCGACGTTCCAAGCTTCTTCTTCGTCTGTTTTAGCAATTGACGCGTTGCTCGAGCTACTGTGTGATCTTGCTTTTGTTGCAGCCGTTGTCCGAATACCCGATGAGCGACAGCGATATCGAGAACGGCAAGTACCGCAGCATGTTTCACAGATCAGTGTCCATGTCAACCGGCGCGCCTTGGGCTCGGAACAGCAACGACGGCAGAATCGTCATGATGAGGAAACGGAACAACAGCAGCAGCGAAATGAACAACGGTAAACGTTTGAGATTATCGATTTGAGATATTTGAGACGTTGATATACGGCCCGTTGCCCGAAGAGCCGCGAGTGATCATTGAGCCTTCCGTGGAACCGTGGTTAATAATAATAACGATAACGAGAGCATATTTCGGCAATTTTTAGAGACGGGTTCTTCGCTCCTGTGTTATCCATCCGCCGCGCTCCAGAAATTAGTGCCATCGATGGACCAATCGGCGATAGTGTCTTCGAGCCAGACCGAAGTAGCGAATAACGATCGGATCGAGATTCTCATGAGACCGGTGATGCTGTTTGTTCTCCAACAACACAACTTGCAGCATCTGCAGCTCGCGATGAAGCAAGCGTTGCGCCGTGCCGCCTGTCGAGTTTACGCGATGCAGGCGTTAAATTGGCTTTTGAGAAGCGTAACGCAGCCAATTTGTTTGCACGACTTGCTCTGGTGGTTCGTCTCGTCTCTCACTCCGGTTGTTCCTTCTGACACCACGGACACCAACGACGACGACAATAGAACGAAGGAGAAGAAGGAGGATCATGTGAGTGGAGACGACGCTTCATTAAAATGTACTCGGCGGAATTGATAGAAGGCTAAGTGCCGTCGTTTTATCGTTGCTTGCATATTCAGGACATGATTGGCGTCAGCGAACATCCTTTGAGCGACCTGGTAATAGCCGGAGAATCTGTCAATCCGTTGCCCACGGTGTTTCACACATTGTTACAAACGATTGCGGATCTGATGTTATTACCGCCACTTGGTGAGTTGCCGAATTAATAAAGATATAAACTCGTACACACTACAAAGAGGAGACTATTCTTATAAAATTATGAACAAAACCACACACACACACACACACACACACACGTACGGCGCAAGCCGTGTGATCGATTACGCATTCGGCAGTATCGCTTTTGACAGCGATCAGAAATCAATAACTCTTACAATTTGTAGGATCTCCGTTACAACAAGCTGCGATTCGCTGTTGGGGTATCCGTTTTACACCGGCGGACCATATGTTCCTACATAGAAGTCACGTATTCAGCAACATCAGCAAGATTCTCTCGCGGTCCGAAGAGGAGGAGGATGTGACGATGAGCATGCACGAGAGCCACCAGTCGACGGTGTCGCAGCAGATGAGCGGCTGCGTGGACGCTTTGAGGGATTTAACATCCAGCGTGGATATTAAAGCGTCCAGCAGGCAAGCCATGATCGGAAGCCTCACGGACAATTCCACGGAGACGTTTTGGGAATCCGGAGATGAAGATCGCAACAAGACCAAAATCGTCACCATCGTATGCGGTGCTCACTCCTTGCCAAGAATGGTGTATGTGCACATCGACAATTGCCGTGACTTAACAGTAAGTTCCCCTCCTTCTCTTCCAGAACAAAGAAAAGAGGAAATATTGTGAACGAATCATGTAACGAGTGTAACGTAATCTCCTCAGCACAAAGTGTCGAGTGTAACATTCCAGTCCGGTGTTAACTCCGACGAAATGATCAAACTGCGATCCGTAGAGATCGAAAGTAGATCGGCTGGGTGGATTAATTGTCCCATCACTGGTAACACATATCACAACGCTTGTTACTATAAGGGCAGAGCGTTTTAAAAACTTTGAGAGCAGACCTAAATCTTTAGAACACTCTGCGCGAACACGATGTGCGATCCGTTCACCCCATTTTGTAACCGTGTATTCTCCCACGTAGATCAACGCCATGTGGTCGTGAGTATGGAACTAAAGGGTCCGGATAACTCCCTGAGAGTTCGCCAAATCCGAGTATTAGGTGAGATCGAGGGGGAATCGTTAAAAGTGGGAAAGCAACTGAGCGCACAAACCATTCAGCAGAGAAACTGCGAGGCGGAAACCTTAAAAGTATTTCGCCTGATCACTTCTCAGGTGAGCGCGCTCTCTTATCTGTGATTCGTCTCTCTCTCTCTCTCTCTCTCTCTCCCCCCCTCTCTCTCTCTCACTCTCTCTCCCTCTCTCTCTCTCTCTCACTCTCACTCTCTTGTTGGCGCATTCAGCCACATTAATAGAGGACTTGCAGGTATTCGGTAAACTTATACAAGGAGAGAAGCAGCAGCAGACGGAGCCGACGGACGGTGCGAATGAGGACGTGGAGGATAGCAACGATCTCAGGGAGCATATGGTTGGGATATTATTCAGCCGGAGCAACCTGACGCACTTGCAGAAACAAGTGTGTACTCACATCGTGCAAGCGATCAGAAAGGAGACGATACGCATGAGAGAGGAGTGGGAGACAGTCCTGTTCTCGCCGACACCCGTTAATAGTCTACTGAGCGACAACAGCGATCTGCAAAAGGCGACCGATACGTATTGCTTCGAAATGCTTTCTATGGTTCTCGCCCTGAGCGGTAGTTCTGTAGGACAGTATTACTTATCGCACCAGACCGGCTTACTGAAAGATCTGCTAAGCTTATTACATACTGGATCGGCTAGGGTGCAGCGCCAAGTGCGTTACCTTTATATTATCTGCTACACCGGCTCGTGCTTAGACTTTGAAACATTTCTCGTTGCAACGCTGTGTATCTTCCAGGTAACGTCTCTCTTAAGACGGATATTGCCCGAAATCAAGCCTGAGACATTGGCAGGTGTGATAAACGTCGAGCAACTGCCGCCTAGCGACTTCAGTATCGTATCCGCGGCGAACAGCAATCTCACTCATGTTTCCGATTTCAACGAACATTCCGCTGGGATTCTTGACGTGTTTCTAAGCTGCATCGCCAAGGCACTGACCGTGCAGGTCAAGATGAAAGGGAAGGAGAACAACGGCAAGGCCCTTCAGAGCGTTTCGTTAGCCACCAGCATTCACCCGGACAGTTACGTCGGGACGAGGTGGTGGCTGAGAGGTTGCATGACGCGAAAACTGGCGGAGGTGCTGATTCAGCTGTTGAAGGATATGGCATCGGTAAGTATTATTGATCTGGATTGGTTCGTCGTCATTTCACGACGGATCTGAACCAATGCTCTCTCTCTCTCTCTCTCTTTCAGGGCAAATTATCGGAGGAATGGGCGTCCGTGACGAAAGCGGGGATAGCTGAGAACATTCTGAACTTGACTAGATTGGACGAGAAGAGTCGCGATCCCACGGAATGTCTCCGATCTCCGACGCTATGGCTGGCGCTCGCTTCTCTCTGCGTCTTAGATTCGGACCACGTGGAGAGACTGTCGTCTGGCCAATGGAGAGGTACCGAGGGACAAGCGCCGCCGCCTAGAGTAAGATGTGAACGTCGCGCGATTCCAAATTAGCAGATACGCGGTGGTCACTCTCGACGACTGATCTCTATCTACTTTCCTCGTTCGTACTTTAGCCGACATGCAGCAATCACGACGACGACGAGACTACAGCCATTATCCAATGTAACGTTTGCGGCAATCTGTGCGCGGAATGCGACCGAATTCTCCACCTTCACCGGAGAACGAGGACGCATCTGAGACAAGTGTGCAAGGAGGAAGAGGAGGCGATACGGGTGGACCTTCACGAAGGCTGCGGCCGGACGAAACTCTTCTGGATACTAGCTCTGGCGGACAGCAGGACGTTGAAGGCTTTAGTGGAGTTCCGCGACGGTTCGCCGAGGAAACCGGTCGGCGCGGCTACCGGTATTTGTCGATTTTGCGGCACCACCGGCAACACGGGCTTGTTAGCGATAGGGAACATTTGCGCCGATCACGATTGCCAGGAGCACGCCAATAACGCTTGCAACAAGGTTCACTCTTGCGGCCACATTTGCGGCGGCGTCAGGAACGAGAGAACCTGCCTGCCCTGTTTGCATCGTTGCTTACCGGGAACCGATTTGAAACAGGACGCCGACGACATGTGTATGATCTGCTTCACCGAAGCTCTCTCCTGCGCGCCGGCGATTCAACTGCAATGCGGTCACGTGTTCCATCTGCACTGCTGCCGGCATGTACTGATGAAACGTTGGGTGGGGCCGCGGATCACCTTCGGCTTCTCTCTGTGTCCGATCTGCAAAGTACCGATGGACCATCCGACGTTGTCCGAGCAGCTGGCCAGCGTGAAGGATCTCTACGACGACGTACGAAGGAAGGCTCTGATGCGTTTGGAATACGAGGGACTGCACAAGTAAGCACTAACTCTTAGATAGCTATCGGCCTGTCGGCGGTTCTTTTCCGAACAACTGATGTAACTTTTGAAACTCGGAAAGAAAGTGGTGTACAATCGACACTTTTGTTGTTGGAAACCAAGGTTGGAGCGCGACGCAAAAAAGAACGAACAGACTGCTTGTCATTGGCGCGGAGTGTAAGAGCTTCCCTCCCCAACGCTCCGATATTTTTCCGCAGGGCCGAAGGAGCTTTCGCACCCGGAGGCCGCTATCAAGATCCAGCCGCCTACGCGATGGAACGGTACGCGTATTACGTGTGCTACAAATGCCAGAAGGCCTACTATGGTGGTGAGGCGCGCTGCGACGCACAGCTAGGCGGGGAGTCGTTCGATCCTACTGAACTGGTGTGCGGCGGATGTAGCGACGTGGCAAGGGCTCAGATGTGTCCGAAGCATGGGGCAGACTTCCTCGAGTATAAATGCCGATACTGTTGTTCAGTGGCGGTCTTCTTCTGCTTCGGAACCACGCACTTCTGCAAACCTTGCCACGACGACTTCCAACGAGTTACCACCATCCCCAAAAACGAACTGCCCGTGTGCCCCGCCGGTACGTATGACGCGCCGCGTCCTTCTTCTCGACGATAAGTGTGTCTGTTTTATATTTGTGGACGTCCGTCCAAAACATAGGATGCATCGTCATGTAAATTCGCGAGCAATCTTTATAAGAAATTACAAACCGTGATCATCTTGATCACTTTGAGTTACTTTTAGCGTTAGCTGCACTAGCCGGAGACTGATATCTTATCGTTTTCCTTCCTTTCAAGGTCCCACAGCCAAGCAGTTGGAAGGAGACGAATGTCCGTTACATGTGAAACATCCACCGACGGGAGAAGAGTTCGCTTTAGGTTGCGGCATTTGCCGCAACGCGCACACATTCTAAGCTTCCAGTGCTCTCTCTTGTGATTATCATGAAATTGGAATTGACACAACCTGTAGCAGTGGGTCTCGTAGTTTCAATACCCGGCGAAAAATAATACACGACGCGACAGAAGATACGTTACTTGTTAAGTAATAGATAAGACGTTTTTATCGGTAAATTTAGCGATAGCTGTCGACAGAGTAAGAGAGGGAGGGAGAGAAAGAGAGCGAGAGAGAGAGAGAGAGAGAGAGAGAGAGAGAGAGAGAGAGAGAGAGAGAGAGAGAGAGAGAGCGAAATCTGTAAGCTTGCGTGTCAAACTTCCATGCGATTTAAGAGGAAGGTTTGCATCGGACGCTATGTAGGCTGTAATTGATATTTGTAATGTGTCTTAAATAGGAATGGGATCAAGGACACTCTAGATATAGCATCAATTTTATGAGTATATTGAAACTTAATAACGTTTAAAGTATAATCAAAACTTTCTGTTTCCCAATCGCATCGAGAGATATGCGTACTTTGGAACGTAGCGTATATCGTAATGTATAATCGACATTTTCTCAAATACGTGTATTACATATAATCATTTGGTATAGTACTTGATTCTGTATTTGATTGTGTAGTAAATTCTTTACAAGCGTGCGAGATATATCTATGACGATCTCTGTATCATTCGATTTTAGTGAAATGATATCTAGAGCTATATTGAATTGACTAAGATTTATAAATACATACATACTGAACTTGGTCCCATCCTAATCTTAAGCATCGGAGCAAAGAAAAATAATATAAAATTCTGTGCACTATTTAAAGTTCACTTTAGGACTCTACGTCTGTAAGGATCTACAAGGATAAGACTAGAGAATCTATGATTTACGACGGAATATGAAATGAAGTTCTATTCTAAAGAAAACATTCGAATGGACGAGTTAGATGAAATGAAATTTCATTTCAATTTCTGTTGCAAATTATGCGAATCATATTTAAAGTGAACTTTAGAAATTATTGACTATTGTCGATACGATCTAGTATTAGTAAGCAATGCGTAAATAAGCTGTTGTATGTGAAGAAAGTGTGTATTTAAGGACATGCACGAAATTTTCGAAAATATCACATATAAAACAGACATCCAAACCATATACTTCTACATATTACACTAAGCCGCTAACAGAAACCAGCAATTTGTTCGATTTATCGATTGGACAAATTGAGTATATATATATATATATAGCTAAGATATACTATATATAGAAATATCATGTATACTTTTTTTCTTTGTAATTTCTATACGTTATATACATTATAGTTTATGTAAAAAAAAAAAAAAAAACTATAAACTATAATGTACATATATATTTTTGTCTACTCTCGATACATGACCACCATTTACATCATATTTTATCCTGCGTATCGCGTTAGCGGTCTAGTATAGTATGTAAAAGTTTGTGGTCCAAACGGATGAAAAAGTTGAAAAAATGGGAATCAGATTGTACGAATGTCTAATTAATATTTCAATGAAACGATCGATGAGTCTCATCTCAATGTTGCATTTCACGTTTTCAACTCTCATTTGTTTTTATACTTTTCCATTAGACGAGCGCATATGCCAACACATGTTCTGAAAGCATTATCCTTCCTACTCTGCGTAATATCTGTGTAATGTCCCGTATTGCATATATTATTTTGCGCGAATGACAGCATCGTCGTGTTGCATTGTCGTATTGTACTGTTGTATGTGAATGTTGCGTGCAAAAGATATCGCGTACCCGTGTTGCGCGCGCTTATTGTTAATATTTATGTTCCGATTTCGTGCGATTGAATGACGAGAAGGATCGCGAACGTTATTTCGCCGATACGTTCCAATTTCCACTACTTATTTATTACACACAACATGCAACTTGAAAACCTCGCTGTTTTGCGTTTTGCCAACGATTAAACAATTCAAAACAATCCAACAGGATTGACGTTTTACGCATCAATCGCTATTTATGTTCCAAGTATATAATAATTAAACGGCAAAGAATCAAACGAGTTGTTTTATTTCGCGAAGTTTGCTTTATCATCGACTACAACCAGATATAGTTATGAACAAAAGGCCGAATGTTTAGAATTTAAACGACAAGATGGGAATATCCCAGATTTCCATGATCTCCACACAATAATTTCTTTTATAATTTAGGTGTATCATATCCACACACACACACACACACACACCGAACCTTACGCACATTTTAGTAATATAAACACATTATTTAAATTATAACAAGTTTCGAGTGTTTACGTCCCCCAAAAAATTCTTAAAGGATTGTATCGCGACATCGCAATTTATTCATTCTGTTTTATATTCATACTTTGTGTCATATTAATTTTAGATATATAGAGTTACCGTACTTTCCGTACTGAAATAGTCAAATTCGACCTGCCGCGCTGTATCGATCATCACGGCGATGCTTCTAGAATCTCATTCGCTGCAACGTTCACTCGGACTGAGGAACGGTTATGGCGTAGCGATGTAGCCTCGAGCGGTCATTCTCTCGCGATTTCTCTCGCTGAAGGTGAGTCTTTCACGTAAATCACCGTTCCCGGTAATCCCAAAAGAATTTCATATACTTGTCGCGACATGGTACCGTTAAGTAATCGTTCAAGGTGCCACGGACCGTCGAAAACGCCAGACTAAATATCGCGCGTCTTTCGCAGTCAGAAATTTCCGGTCGCCGTCCGGCTCTCGGCTCGTCGAAGGAGAGCCCTGTACGCGAAATATCGTCGCGAGTGTCAGAGAAAAAGTGTTTCGTTCGTTTGTCTCGTCTATCGCTCCAAGTAACTACGAAAAGTGCAAATCTTTCAGAAATGGATACGTAACAGCCGAGTAAGAGGCCTATCGCGTCGTGACGGTTAGGAGTTCAAATCGCTGCTCTCGACCGGCTAAAGGAGAAGTCGGTAAGTATCGATAAAACAGAGGATAGATTATGCACCTGCGACTCTTGCATACTGACTATTTGACTCTTGTACGTCGCGAATCTAAATGAGATACGAATCGAGTGAACGACTTTTCCGGAGACTACACGCGGGAAGTAACGCATTCTTCGAAAGCAAAAATTAAAATAAAAACGATACACAGAATGTAAGAGTCCTTGTTGCGTTTTTTGCAGAGAAAAATATCAAACTCTTCAGGAAAACAGATCGGGAAATATATTGGTCAATAATGCGATATTATTTTTATGAGCCCTTGTTCTCTAGATATTTTCTAGAATATCTATACATGTTTATTATAGTACAGTAATATTATACATTCCGTGAGTAAAATTACGCACTCTGTATTTATACCGAAACAAGCGGTAACGCCAATCCCCTTCAATTATTCCTCGGCTTTCCGAGTTTCATTGGGGTAATCAGGAACTTTTATTCAAAATTGATACTGTATTCGATAATATCGATAAGCGCGTGTATTCTTACGCCCCCCCATACGAAAGGCGAAAGTCGCGCGCTCGCGTATCCGCCGACGATTGATCCAAGATGGCGGGGGCGCGCGGGCGCCATCGCGCGGCAGTCCGACCCAAGCAGTCACCGCGGAGTAACGTGTGTGTGTGCACGCGCGATCCTGACGTTTTTCGCCTCGATCAGCGGTAAGTAGCCTTTATTTACGAGCTGTGCAACAATAGTTACATAATTCCCGAGACGCGCTATGCGCGCGTGGCCGTACGTCGCGAGCCCGCGGGCGGTAGATACGAGTTTTGCGCGCGTCAAAGGCGCAACGAAACGAGAGACGTCTGCCCGAGAAGGAAGGTGAGGCGAACAGAGAGACTGCGAGAGAGGAAGAGAGAAAGAGTGTGTGTGTGTGTGTGAGAGACAGAGAAAGAGAGAGAGAGAGTGAGGAGACACGCGAGCTTCTACGCGCGTTCATCCAGTGCTACCCCGCTGTCAACTGGCACTGTTTATTTTTACCACGAATTGCAGTCAATTGCGGCACGGGTGCCGCTTCAATTGGCCGAAATTGCACGCGTTCGCGCTCGACCGCGCGACTCGTCAGTCAATACTCGCGCGAGGAAACTCGTCTTGCGCGACGGAAAAATGCGAGGAACCGTGACCTTCCTTGCGCAATTTTCGGCCGGTCGCCGGTCGATGTGATACAACGAGAAATTTCTGGCGGTTAGCACGCGCGTTAGGTCGCTTCGCGTCGTCGTGCTTCCCCTGCGACGACGCTTAACCTCACTTCCCGGAGCAAAACAGGCTTTCTGTCAATCCCGAGGATGCGCGCGCGATGTCACCCTCATCCTTGCTCACCGTCGATGACACTGCGCGAGTTCATTCATAAGGGGTGCTTAATTGTGTTTGACGCGTGATACAAAGCGTGCTGTCGATTTCAAGGACGCGCTCGACATTGCGTTATTTGTGATTTCGCTTTACGCTCTTGTATTGGCTTATCCGTCGTCCCTTCGCCGTTTCTGATGTTGAATACTACCGCCGCGTATATAAGTGTATCGTGATATTTTGAGTCAGTATTTGTAACGACACATACGTTCACTGAAGAAGATGCCGAAGGAGATGACTTCAACGTAAAGGCAATTGGCTAAAAGTAAGATACTTGTTACTGACATTATTGATTAAACTCAACTTATTTATGTATACGTACTTAAAATTTTATCTCTGTATATATCATGCGTCACATTGTTTTATACATCACAATATATTATATATACATTGTATATATTATAGTATATATTATATTAAGAAACAAGAATAAAGAAAGTATGTTTAAATATGAAACCGAATCTTTTCTTACTTGTACCTCCACTTTACTTAATTTTTACATTCCTTCGAAACTAAAAAGATCAAAAATTTCCAAGTATCTCGCCGGAGCTTCATGCTATCTCTTCGCTCATTATATTTTCCTAATAAGAAAATGTGGAAATCGAGAAACTGAGAAAATTTGCTCATTCTTAAATTTCCCGCCAAAGATTCGTGCTACCTCTTTGCCTATTATATTCTCCTGATACAAAAATGCAAAAATCGAGAAACTGAGAAAATTTGCAGATTCTTAAATTTCCCGCCAAAGATTCGTGCTACCTCTTTGCTCATTATATTCTCCCGATAAGAAAATGCGGAAATCGAAAAACTGAGAAATTTGCAGATTCTTAAATTTCACGCCAAAAATTCGTGCTACCTCTTTGCTCTTTATATTCCCCTAATAAGAAAATGCGGAAATTGAGAAACTGAGAAAATCTGCTCGTTCTTAAATTTCCTGCCAAAGGTTCGTGCTACCTCTTTGCCTATTATATTCTCCTGATACAAAAATGCAAAAATCGGGAAACTGAAAAAATTTGCTGATTCATAAATTTCCCGCCAAAGATTCGTGCTACCTCTTTGTTCGTTATATTCTCCTAATAAGAAAATGCAGCAACCGAGAAACTGAGAAAATTTGCTGATTCTTAAATTTTCCGTCAAAGATTCGTGCTACTTCTTTGCCTATTATGTTCTCCTGATACAAAAATGCAAAAATCGAGAAACTGAAAAAATTTGCTGATTCATAAATTTCCCGCCAAAGATTCGTGCTACCTCTTTGCTCATTATATTCTCCTGATAAGAAAATGCAAAAATCGAGAAACTGAGAAAATTTGCAGATTCTTAAACTTCCCGCCAAAGATTCGTGCTACCTCTTTGCTCATTATATTCTCCTGATAAGAAAATGCAAAAATCGAGAAACTGAGAAAATTTGCAGATTCTTAAACTTCCCGCCAAAGATTCGTGCTACCTCTTTGCTCATTATATTCTCCTAATAAGAAAATGCAGCAACCGAGAAACTGAGAGAATTTGCTGATTCGAAAATTTCCCGCCAAAGATTCGTGCTACCTCTTTGCCTATTATATTCCCCTGATACAAAAATGCAAAAATCGAGAAACTGAAAATTTGCAGATTCTTAAATTTCCAGCCAAAAATTCGTGCTACCTCTTCGCCCATTATATTCTCCTGATATAAAAATGTGACAATCATACGAAAAGATATACTTATCTTTAATAAATTGCGTAGATTTATTCATATTATTTTTGTTGGTGAAAACAAGCGCGAAGAAAACCATTTCAAATTATGTGGAATTGTATAAAATAGAAGAAATATTTGTATTAAAGATGAAGTTCACGCACGAAGAATTACGGTGTAGAGTCTTCTTGAATATCGCAGCAAGGACGGGTATACAAAAGGAAACGGGCACATGACACTCTTGTATGCGAATTTAT